AGGTAAAAATATATCGTTTAAATGATAATTTCTAAAATATAGTAAATAAGAGACCGGGGCCCCGTTTCACGAAGCTCTCGTAAGCTTAAGATCTCGTAACTTTCCTCGTAGCATTCGTACCTCCTATACTGTAACATAGGAGGTACGACGCTACGAGAAAAGTTACGAGATCTTAGGCTTACGAGAGCTTTGTGAAACGGGGCCCGGGATCCTTATTTAGACTTGCCTCTTCGAAGGATAGAATTAATGCACATCCATGGGTCAGCATTCAGTACAGCCTTGAACCAAGGCTAGGGGTGACTTTGTGAAGTCGTTTGTAAAACGAACCGAAATTATCCACCAGTGAAATAACATAAAGAAACCCATACCGCGTTCTCAGATGCCATGAAATAAGTGGAGTCACAGATGGTTCTTATTGAAGTTATTCTGAATAAAAACCATCACAGACACACCCTCCTCCCAACAAACAGAGCGGAGCGAGACCACAGCTATCTGGCAACTGTAGCGGGTGAAGGGTCGGCTTTCACAGGCAAAGGAACATAACTCGAGCTGTAAGTCGCCCCAGATGGGATTCGACAGGAACCACTGAGACGTTTACTGGTAGTTTGGAATAAGGACATCTCATAGTGTAAAGTATGGAATGGATTTTGGTTTGGAATTCGGGAATGGCCTAAATCTGCCGGGTGGTTCCGTTTGAGTGTTGTTTATTTCCATAGATTTCCGTAGATGATTTGCTTATGACATATGTGGAAGTATTCTAGGATTTAAAAAAATGTTTTCATGCTGGGTAACCGAGGTGTAAAATTATTATTGTTTTTTATTCGATGTTATTTATATTATCATAGCATCTAAAGTGTAGCTGGAGGCTGGATGGTGTCCTCGTCAGTCTATGCACTTAAGTTTAATGAATTTTGAACGACACTTGAGGTTCACAGTTCGGTTTTGATGAAACGTGGGAAAATGAGAGACATAAAGGACAGACGACTTCCGGTCGGTGTGTGAGGAGTGGCATCGTTTGATGTGAAACGTTATGTATTCATACGCAATGAGACATATCGTCATCATACCGTCGGATATAAAATTGATAAATAGTTGCAGTCTTTTTCAAATACATAGATGAAGAAGACATATTTGGGTGTCAGAGAGATTCCGGCGAACGCCCGACTGAGTAGGCTACTGTGCAACCCGCAAGTGGTAATTTGTGTGTGTTTGGTTTGACGATACAAGCAGCATCGAGCTGATATGTTGGGCTGTAAATACTCTGTATGACTGCCTTGGCTTGTTTAGACAAGGTTATATACATGCCGCCGTCCTGAAACTGACACAGGCATGCCCAGCATGGTGTTCTTATTGTTTTAAACGTTAGTATATTTCACGAAGAGTGAGTGAGTGAGTTAGGTTTCACGCCGCATTTAGCAATATTCCATCGAGGGACACCAGAAATGGGCGCCAGACAATATGCCCATCTGGGGAATCGAACCCGGACCTTCGGCGTGACGAGCGAACGCTTTAACCACTAGGCTACCCCACCGCCTCTATTTCAGGAAGAAAATGAGTACGTAAGAGTCACGGGATTAACTTATGAATAGTAGCACAGTGGTTCATGCGTTCGTTCAGTAGGGTTGATTCCCCGTATGGATATAGTTTGTAATACCATTGCTGATGTCTCCCCTACCCAGCCAACTCATTCATATATTCAGCTGGACATCCAGATCTGTTTTCCTTGAGTTCTCTGAAGATATGAAATATAACCAGTTTGTATTAGTTTTCCGCATAAAAATCGAGTTATCCTTTCAAAAATAAACAATTAAAATAAACCCGGACCACACAGAGGCATTTGTTTTGTCTAAACAGCTCCGCAATCACAAACATATTGGTTCTGTATTCAAGAAATACGAAGAATTTCATAACTGATGCTTTTGACTTATTTCTGTCGCTGCATGATTAAAATGCGGAAAGGAAGACCGCGCTTTCCTAAAGCGGGACTAGTTTACGTGACCTCGATATCACGCAGACACCTAGTATATCACTCCGCTGTACCGTAACAGTAGCGGCTAGAGGGCGCTGTATAAATATTTGACTTCCGACTTCGGCAGACGAGACAACCGCCACGGTGGTGAAAAGATAAGAGACGTGCCGTTTCTCATCACGTAGAGCAGACGTAGACTTGAAGCGGGATATTTTGTAATCAGAAACTTGCAAAAGCCGTTGTCTTTGCAGAACAAATGTTGAATTCTTTGGCTCAATGGAGTGTGTGAGAGTGAGATGTTTGCTCAAATTAATTAAGATAAGATATTTTCCTCTGACACCTACAAGAACGTCTGTCGCACCCAAGCTTTCAAGGTCACAAGGGATGAAATTTGTGTTAGGATATTCAGTGTTGAGGCTTCTTCGTTCTAAATTCGAATGAGAGCAACCTACAGACCAGCATTTATGTATCTCGAAAACAAAGTTAATAGACCAGCTCTGAATGTAACTGATAAAGGCGAAGCCATTCCATTATGGTTACACCCTGTCTTCCTGAGCGGAGAAGCAAACAAACCGAAAGGAAGTGTCATAGGAGTATTTGTCTTTTATCTGTTAGTTTTCAATTGTGACACTATATACAAAAATTATGAATCGCGTTGGAAGAGAAATAAAGGCGCATCACTTTATGTTAACGGTGTAGGAACCTAAGCTAGATTTGGAGGTCGAGGTTGGCTCAGGTGAACGTTGTATGTAGCATCCATCAGATGTTATAAAGAGGGGTAGTATCTGGAAACAAATAACAATTTTGCAGCAGCGACACTGCAGTCATATCACGATAGATAATCCAGCCTGGGTCAGACTGACCGGTAGCTGGTGCACGTGCCACACTCCACGCCGTCCGGAATACGATGGCGCGCGGTCAGCACAGCCACACCCTGCAACCACAGTCCTCTCGACGGCTGTCATAACACGACCGTATGGCAAGCCATTTTCACATTTATTCTGATATACTGATGTCTTAAATTGTTTTAAAATATCTTGAATGAAAATAGACATATCTTGAATTGAATTGAAGATATCTTGAGTTAAATGGAAGATATCTTGAATTGTATTGAAGATATCTCGAATAGAGATAATTATAGATCTCTCCAAAAACAATCGCGAAATGGATTAAGGATGTGTTGAAGCATATAAATGATATCTTGAAAACAATTGCTGATACCTCTAATTGAACTGAAGATACTGTAATGAATTTGTGGATATGTGTAAATTATTTCAAGATATCTTAAATTCAATTCAGGATTATATCAATTATTTCTAATACATTTATGTGCACTATGATCGTAATTGTTTTATTGATATATTAAACACATGATATCACGACACATGCTCTTGATATCTGAAAACATTTGAAATATCAGTAATTCTATTTGGAAATCAGAAATTAATTGAAGATATCTTCAATTATTTCCCGATATATTTAAAACATAATGGGTATCTGTAAGTAGAATACAGATATCTTTAATACATTTGAAGATATCTTTAATTTTCCTAATAAATGTGAAAACGGCTTGCCATACGCACGGGGCATTTGGGACGTTTTTCATCCGGAGTTCTTACAAGGATGAAGAAGTGAATTTAACTTGATATATTACGCGAGGGAAGACGGTAAAGTCTCTTAAGGCTCAGTTCGTTTTGAATGAAGTAGTCTTGAAGATCTTAGTGTTAGCGTGTACATACAGTATCTGACATTTGGAAATTATTTGTGAAAACGAGTTAACGGCTGCATAGCACTGTGTGCACGAGATGAAGAGATATGGCGTTTGCCAAAGAACTGTTTGTTGGATGGGGAAGCGGAGCTGTAACGCCCATCACTGATGTTAATAACGGAAATATACACATGGTGCCAGGAGAGTACATAATGGGTAAATATGGAGGAATAGACATAAATACAACTGTTTGAAGTATGTTGCATATGTCGTGAAGGACTGCATTATCTCTCCATTGTTATAATATTGTGTACTCAACTGGTGAACCGCCTGCATCGACTATTGGTGTGTTTTGGGATATTGGATGGAATTTGTTTGATGTTGATGTACGCCATACTCACATCTTGACTGAGAGTGTTTATGGTATTGTTCCAGCATGTGGGAGTGAGTGAGTGAGTTTAGTTTTACGCCGCACTCAGCAATATTCCAGCTATATGGCGGCGGTCTGTAAATAATCGAGTTTGGACCAGACAATCCAGTGATCAACACCATGAGCATCGACCTGCGTAATTGGGAACCGATGACATGTGTCAACCAAGCCAGCGAGCCTGACACTTAACCCCGCATTAACCCAATAATACGTTCAGTTCAAGATCAAATGATGTAATGATATATTACTGATTAAATAGTGTTATAACAACGCTTCTCTATTTATTCATTCTTAGGAATTCCAAGGGTTTTCATCGGGAATGTGGGAGTAGTCATTTCCAGAAAACGTGTCGTCGATGCAAATATAGGGTCAGATATAGACAGATTCGCGGTCCCGTGACCGGCCTCTGGTCCAGTGAAAGTTTCGTATGCCTTGTAAACTTCACATATAAATTTTTTTCTTAGATGACTTCAATAACAGAATGTCCATCTCGCACACATCCTCGATTATTTTGTCTAACTTTTTTTCCTGATGTTTAAATAGATTCATCTGTAATGTAATGGAGATATTACACCCTGGATAATCGAAGATGCCTCACCAGGGACTAAATCATTTATAGGGGATTGTATAACAAAGGATAAACACTGGATGGAATGTGTCATTGTCTGTCATCCAACCTGATTACTTACAATATCGATGCTCACACTATCGACCACTAGTTTGTCTAGGTTCGATGTCGTATCTTGCTAGACATATTTATCTATAATATCGCAGATGAAACCCGTTTTACTTTCACTCAAGCATAAACATTTTCATGAAATAATTCCGTTTACCATTAAATTGTTATCATCATTGCGATGTTGATCATAATCATCATAATGTCGTATTTGCAGGAGCGCTGACGTCGGACGAAGAAGAGTCTATATTCCGGAAGCCTATCGTAGCTAACGCTCGGAGATCCAAGGATAAAGACCTCGGTGTGATGCGAGAAGATACAAGGGAAATCCTCAACAATTTCTACATGCCCTTCAACCAAAAACTCTCCATCCTCCTTCACGACCCCAAGTACCTATGGACTCCTCAGTAGCCAGTGTCTTCAGTTCTTCATCCTCCTTCACGACCCCCAGTACCTGGGGACGCCTCAATAGCCAGTGTCTTCAGTTCTCCATCCTCCTTCACGACCCCAAGTACCTATGGACTCCTCAGTAGCCAGTGTCTTCAGTTCTCCATCCTCCTTCACGACCCCAAGTACCTATGGACTCTTCAATAGCCAGTGTCTTCAATAGCCAGTGTCAAGGGAAATCCTCAACAATTTCTACATGCCCTTCAACCAAAACTCTCAATCCTTCTTCACGACCCCAAGTACCTATGGACTCCTCAATAGCCAGTGTCTTCATTTCTTTATTCTCCTTCACGACCCCAAGTACCTATGGACTCCTCAGTAGCCAGTGTCTTCAGTTCTCCATCCTCCTTCACGACCCCAAGTACCTATGGACTCTTCAATAGCCAGTGTCTTCAATAGCCAGTGTCAAGGGAAATCCTCAACAATTTCTACATGCCCTTCAACCAAAACTCTCAATCCTTCTTCACGACCCCAAGTACCTATGGACTCCTTAATAGCCAGTGTCTTCAGTTCTCCATCCAGTGTGTCCACGGCGCCAGTGACCTCTAGCATGTCCACAAACCTGTGGTCAGGCAGAGGTTTGACCATTTGACCCAAGCCAACGTTTTCTGACCAGATACGCTTTGGTCCTCGAATTTATGGCATGTAGAACAAAAGAGCAACGTTCTGGTACTTTACGTTTGTTCCCCACCGCAACCCAATCCATATAGTAAAACCCCATTACTTCAGACCCCGTCAATCGCGGACACCCATTTTTCCTTGCAAAATATTTATTTGATATTGAGGACATTCCCTGTACTATTACTTCGTAAATGAAAAATGTTTCAACCCAAACCTTTTCGTTGGTTTCCTGAAAGCTACACTGTCTGGATTAAAGAGGTTACTGAATCATTGATGAAACATAATGATTTTTTTCTTTTCCACAAAACGTCCAAGGATAAGGATAGAGCATAACTTGTATTGTTTTTATCAAACCATCACTGAATATCAGAACAGTTGTTATTTAGGATACCAATAGCCAAATAGCTGGATGCGGAGAGATGAAAGGGACCATGCATTGTTGATGATATTCCAGTCGGGCGTCAGAGGACGTTATGTAGGACTTCAACTCTCACTGGTAACTCCAAGCGCGGGATTGTTTGGCAGTAATATTTATGAATCTCATGGACGTTGGATAACATGTGCACATAATCAAAGGAAACGTATTGCTTTATGACAATGTTCCAAGAGCAAACCAAAACGACCCGATTCCAGAGATTTGGCATGCGTCAAAGGATTTTACGTCCGTGTGGATGAATCACTGACGTCATTGGGGACGCTGTTGAAAGGGAGATAACTTGCAAACTAAGTGCGCATTGAAAGTGGCTATTGTGCCTAGTGGGCCGTGTACTCCCTCGTCGCTTCAAAGACATTTATTCTGTTCTTAACATGGGCACAAGGTGGGACGTCTTCTTAATGTATCTGGAACATTTTGAGAAATGTCGGAAGCCACACTCACGGCTTATTAAGAATGTATATGTTATATCCTGTGCAATTGAATAGGCTCTGTATGATATAATGGTCATCTACTGTCGAAATATTATTTCAACAAACACAAGTGCTACTTTGATATAACATCATTTTCTATTGATTAGATTTGAAGCCTTGTAATTGAACCATGATTATAGTCCTGTGTGATGACGCCACAGCCGATAGTCCTGATGAAGTTCCAGTTTAAAACACGCATGATGACGTCACAGCTGATGGTACCAAGGAACTTCTAGTTCACACGCGTAGAACGTAGAACGTGTGTGTTTATTGAACTTGACACAATGGTTGTTATGAATGTAGAACAGCGACAATACAGATTTCTTCCAATGAAGACCCAAGTACCATTTCCTCGTTAGACCATATCTCCATACTGTGGATATGTCGTATGATATTTGTACATTAATCTTGTTATGGGCTATTCTAGTATGACAAACAGCCCAGGAGGAGAATGTGATATTGGAATCATTACCAGAAGAGAATTATCATTCTGATTGTATCAGTTGAAGGTATTATCCATAGTAAGGGCCGGCCATCTTTGGATGGTAGCCCATTTACAGCATGGTTGCAACTGGTTGACCGTTACACGTGATCGCTCTGTTTTTAGAGCATATTGTATACCAATAACTGCTGAAAATGCTCAAATTGCAATATTTGTTCTGCTCTGCTGCTGGTCCTTTGTAAAAAGGGTTACCATTGATGTTGTATATTTCAGAGGTTACACTCGTCGTCAATGCTATATTCGGCCTTATGTTCCCCAATCACCTGTGACTGCTGACGGCCGATGATGGCATTGCATAGTGTTTGTTTCTAGTCAGGAAATGGAGCCCAATCTGCGTCAACCGTAACTCCATGATTCGCATTTCAGTAAAACTATACTATTAACCGCAGTTCTTCATTGACTCATTACGGACCAATCAAATTTCAACATAGTGGAACATTCGTCACCACTCGCCCCTTTCCGTAACCTCCAAGCGGTATTCGGCTAGTCCCGGAATAACACGAGTTGGTCACGGAATATAATTGAAAGAAAATAGGTAAGGGAGGTAACTCGCAATACCAAGACTGGGCATGAAGATATCCTTTCCACGAAAAAAGACGTATGAGGGTTTGTTTTAATTTCTTGCAATCTTGATGACAGGTGCCATGGTATAGATACTGCCAAGTTTAGATTGTAAATCGCAATCTTGGCACGGAAGACCTTGTAGCGTAGCCAAATTGGCAAATGGCAATCAAGGGCGGGTAATTTCTGACTTTAAGAACAAACGGATTGTATCCAGGATTTAGCACAGGGATGCCGAAATGCAATCCCAGGAGATATACCGAATGTCCTACTCGGTGCTTGAAGTCATCGCAAATCCTTTCTGGTACTGAAACTATCTGTAGATGGAAGAAGGGCTATGATAAGTTTTACATGAGAACCATTTTCTTCTGTACGGTGTAACATCAGGTTTGATAGGTTAACGCAAAACAGTCGTATTCACAGGGGATGGGGTACAATGGTGCATACAAATCCGTGATGACGATACGGCCAATTATGCTTGTATATTACCCTTACAGTCATTGTTTATTGCGGATCTTCGTGAATACGAACGGTTCGGTTTCCAGTAAAATACATGTACAATTGTCGTTTTGTGTACGACATAGAGGCACAAGGTATACTTGAATTTGTGGTTTCATTATGTTCATTGACGTCACCTGGGTCACAACAAACATATCGCTTGTTGGTCGGAATTTAGCGTTAAAACGACAATTGCCGCTAGAAATATAACATATACATAGCCTTTGAGTGACATGTTTGTGATCCCAGTGACTGGGTCTATCCAAGAAGTGCGGATGCACAGACATTGAGGATAAATGTGTGTGATTACTATAGGAGGTCTTTTCCGAAGTTAGGTATTTGGGTAGCTGAAAACTGAAATTTCTTTCTTTAACGAAATTTAATTCTTAAAAGTAGAGTTACATTTCCGACGAACTGCAATCGATTTGTTGTGCCTTTGTGGTATTTTTAATTCATCTTTGCAAATTTGAACGCCATCACCATTTCTTGAAAAACATATTTAATCATATATTATTGAATATTTACAGTTTTATTTTCAGAAATGTATTTTTGACGATGGGTATTGTTCATGTTGCATGTATGAAGGATGTCTGGTCTTTGACTGCAAGTTTTGAAATAAATCTGTTAGCGGTATACAAATCCGTCCTAAATAATTTTATGACTGAAATTACTTTCATACTCTTAGCCTTTCACTTCGAAGAGCGTCGTTTGGTTTGAGTGACTTTCATTTGTCTACTACATTTGGTTTATCAGAGTCAGGGTATTTACTTAATCATGTATTTTAATTCTTCTATGAAAATGCTTCATTTTATGTTTTTATGACAGCAAATCAATCCTCACGTGTTAACTTAAGCACAGAGATGATTCTATAATATGAAGTTTTATGCTCATTTGTTAAAAAGCCGACTAAGGTATAAACGCAATGCGATGCTGGTGTTTACGTCCATAGTGACAACGGCTGTAATCAGTCAAAGGAACCTGTAAACCGAAAGCCATTCGTCTATTTTCGTGGCCTACATTCGGCTCTACACGGAACGACACGAAGGTTGACGAGTGAATAATTGTTAAAGGCACCATATCACACCACACTTCTCTAAACTTAAATAATACATTTCGCATTCGCCTCGAAGTTTCAATTAACGATTTCAGCGAAGTCGTAAGGGATAGTAAGTCTTTTATTGCATCAATAGGAAACTAAAGGGAGTGCAAATGCCCCAATATATAAAACATAGGCCAGAATAGTGTCGAAAATGTGTGACATTGTGCCCTTAAGCTCCGTTGCATTGCGTTTATGCTTTACGTCGCTTTCCACAACGTGGCGCTTTTATGTTATGAAGCTATGATCTCTGCCTTCAGCATGTTGCCTCTAGTCATGTAACCATGTACCATTAAAACTGGTTAACAGATTTATACCTGACTACTGTTTTCACTAACATAGGTATCACAATGTCACATTGACACACTGAGTGATCCATCCTGTTTGAATACAACTCACAGTAACACGGCTGACCGGTGCTCATTCTATCACCCACTCGTTTCGCTGACCTACATTCCATTGTGTTAATGCTGCGGTGGTATTGCCCTAGACTTCGTCATCACATCACCAATATCGAGTAATATATATGTTCACGGTGAACTACGTGCTTGAAAAGCTTGAAAAGCTTATGAAGAAAGTAGGTCCTTTGCATACGCCTTCAGGCAATCATATAAAAGTGGTTGAGTGAGTGACTTTAGTTTTACGCCGCTTTTAGCAATATTTCGGCAATATCAATATTCCAGCGGGGGACACCAGAAAAGGGCTTCACACATTATGCCCATCTGGGGAATCGAACCCGGGTCTTCAGCGTGACGAGCATAAAGAAGTGAAGAAGAATATCAAGGAATGAATACCATTCGACCTACATGAATCACAATACCTCTACTGATTCACATCAGTAGAGTGAGTGAGTTTAGTTTTACGCCGCTTTTAGCAATATTCCAGCAACACCATGGAGGGGACACCAGAAATAAGCTTCACACAATGTACCCATGTTGGGAATCGAACCCGGGTCTTTGGCGTGACGAGCGATCGCTTTAACCACTTGGCTACCCCAAATCAGTGGAGGTATACTGGTTTATATATATGGTATTACATCAGTGGAAGTATACTTCACGAGGAATGGAATGAACTAATAACTGTGTCACATGGTAGTAGATCAGTGATAATTAGGTCACATGGGATTAGATTAAGTAGATAGGGTTTAAAACATTTAACGTATATGTCACCTGGGTTTAAATCATTTAACGTATGGATGTAAAACATGTCACCTGGGTTTAAAACATTTAACGTACGTGTCACATGGATTTAAAACATTTAACGTATGTGTCACATGGATTTAAAAATTTAACGTATGTGTCACCTGGATTTAAAACATTTAACGTACGTGTCACCTGGATTTAAAACATTTAACGTATGTGTCACATGGATTTAAAACATTTAACGTATGTGTCACATGGGTTTAAAACATTTAACGTATGTGTCACATGGGTTTAAAACATTTAACGTATGTGTCACATGGGTTTAAAACATTTAACGTATGTGTCACATGGATTTAAAACATTAACGTATGTGTCACCTGGGTTTAAAACATTTGGCGTATGTATCACCTGCGTTTAAAACATTTAACGTATGTGTCACATTTAAAACATTTAACGTATGTGTCACATGGATTTAAAACATTTAACGTATGTGTCACCTGGATTTAAAACATTTAACGTATGTGTCACCTGGGTTTAAAACATTTAACGTATGTGTCACCTGGTTTAAAACATTTAACGTATGGGTTTAACACATGGATTCAAAACATTTAACGTACGTGTCACATGGATTCAAAACATTTAACGTACGTGTCACCTGTATTTAAAACATTTAACGTATGTATCACCTGCACATGGATTTAAAACATTTAAAGTACGTGTCACATGGATTCAAAACATTTAACGTACGTGTCACATGGATTCAAAACATTTAACGTACGTGTCACATGGGTTTAAAACAATTAGAGTATATTGCACGTTGATTTTAAACCAGTTAGAGTATGTTGCACTTGGAATGTAATCAGTTGAAATGGGTTTTAAACACCATATGTCAAATTTATAACCAAATGTAAGAGGTATACTTACATAGAGGTAAAGCAGAAGGGTTATATGTCACCTATCAGGTCAAATTGAAAAAAAATGAAAATTGTAGATTTTAATCTGAATTTTGCAACTGAAATGATGTGTTTCATATTTTGTGAACTGGTGGTGAGACTGTCGACACTCATTTGTAACAATCTACATTTCCATTCTTAAACAGCGATTCGACGGCCACGACTCTAAAACTATCGTAGCGAAGAGCTCCGTGACTTCGATGATAAATAACACCACCAGACATAACTGCTTACGTTCAAGTCCTATACCTGCCTTTCAGACATTCTGTTATGCACTGTAGACATTTCCAATATATTATGCTTAAAAACCAACAGTAAGTATTTCATCGATATCACTACTTGTCTCGTCATATGTCTTCGAAGTTAAAAAGAAGGGGCTAAAATGTACCCCCTGCTGGAGGCCTGCATGTCGACTGTATTCACAAAAAGACATTGTCTACACTGCTGCTGATTAAATTCGTGGTGATAAATGTCACAACTCTTAGCTTGCTGCACTTATCGTATCTCTTATCTGAAGTGTTTGTATGTTTGTCCCCACCGGGGTGTTCGAGTGCATTTTATATGAATGATATATTTTATGCAATAAACTTTGATTAGATTATTACAAACATGTACCTGACGTCTTTTCTGTGAATAACATTTTTACGAAATTATTGGATAGAAAGCTTTAAATTAGATTTATACAATCCAAAAAAGAAACGCATAACCCAGAAATCTGTTGCGAAAATGTTGTATTTCAACCATGTATAACACGTCCACAAATAGACTTTAGTACATGAATTTGTACACCAGTTTAGAAGAAGGTAATGTCTCTACAACCAAGTGGATTACTTTAGATAACAGAGATGTTGAGCGCGATAGTGACCACGTAGCATGGTCCCGACGTCGGGTCTCCTGGCTCTCAGTCCAATCTATCTCAACCTGTTCCGTACAGTTTGACCGGATATCCTCCGAAGTCCAGGCTGCTGTATACAGAAACGTACCTGGGGTACACAACTGTAGTACCCGTGCCGACAACGACCCTTTCAGCTATAGTATCTCTTATCGAATGGCATGTGCTGGCCTTGCTGCAAGGCTGTACTGAAGGCTAAGCTCATGGATGTTCAATAATTCTATCCTTTAAAGAGGCAAGTCCAGATAAGCGGACAAAAGACGCCATTCTGTTAGAGGTATATTTATGTGTTTTAGAAATTATTATTTAAACTATTAATTACCACCTTAGACACTAGTTTAAGTCTACGCCTGTACGAACAGACCTGAAAGCACGATGGCACAACACTGGAAGTATGAACCCACCCAGTACTCTGACGTTGGGACAACCAGAAGGCTATCTGGGAATGTATAAACTCATAAAAAACCAATAGAAACCCCGATAAAAAAAATTCTAAACAAATGTCAAGAAAGCGTTATTGATGATTAAATACGTATGCGTGCACATCAATGAATCAATAACCAGTCGTGTGTTGTTTGTAACTAAGCACAACACAGACATTGTTGATAAAATGCCTTTTTAGGCATTTGTCATTTAAAACTTTATGTCGTAGGGGTCCATCACAGGAAATGAAGAGAACGTTCATAAATTAATCTAATATAGTGAAATTTCTACTTGCTGTAGAAACGAAACCTTGCCAAATGAAAGAGAATAACGTGATACTGAAGCTATGTACGGCATATGATAAACATGATATGTCGGAGTAAGTTTGTGTTGTCCATCCTGTCTAACCCCACGAAGAAGTGGACTCATCCAGTGTCAGGTTGTCATATGTTTGCGTATAAATACACAGCTTATGTGCCACAACAGCAGACGGACACCGGAGATCTTCTCTCTCTCTCTCTGTCTGACAACTGAAAATAACGTGAGTACCATATTACATTTTGTTTAGTTCCCTACAAAGAAATTGCTTACTACTTTAACTACCCCTACTACCATTACTACTGCTATTACTTTACTGCTGCAGTCTGTCGTCCTTGGATGGGTGGCCATGTTTGGCAGTTTGACTCCTGAGAGTTTCTAGGACTTCTGGCCTGCCCAACAACGAAACACATGTGATGCATGTTGTCTCACCTTAGGCAAGTGAGTTTGTTCAAAATTGCCTCTGTTCATCCAGCAGAAAATGGGTACCCGGTGGGATAAGTCATGTGACTTACTCTAGCGCCTCACAGGCAGCTTGGGTAATAATGTTGTGCTGTTTGTGCGCGCTTTGAGCATGCCCTCTGTGGTGTGGAATATTGCGCGGAATAAGTACCCCCATTATTATAACCACTGTTTCTGCTACGACTTCTATTATGAAGAATACTACTGATACTGATATTACCTTTTCTATGACGTCTCTTTACTACTACTACTACTACTACTACTACTAACCCTTGACGATCCCGCGTTAGAATTGATCTTCAGTAACCCATGCTTGTCGTAAGAAGCGACTAAGGGGATCGGGTGGTCAGGCTCGCTGGCTTGGTTGACACTTGTCATCGGTTCCCAGTTGCGCAGATCGATGCTCATGCTGTTAATCACTGGATTGTCTGGTCCACACTCGATTATTTACAGACCGCCGCCATATAGCTGGGATATTGCTGAGTGCGGCGTAAAACTAAACTCACTCACTACTACTACTACTACTACTACTACTACTACTACTACTACTACTACTACTACTACTACTACTACTACTACTACAGGGGCGGTGGGGGTAGCCTAGTGGCTATAGAGGACAGATAATTGTGCATTTATTGATAAAAGGTTGCACATTTATTGACTGTTGCACAGTGAACATATTTAAATATGGAGGCACTCAAAATAGTTTCAGGTTGCCCATGCACAGAATGTTTAGAATGTTTAGTGTATGTTTTTGTTAACGACGCACTTAACTATATTCCCGCTGTCTGGAAGAGGTCTGTAAATAATACATTGTGGACCAGACAATCCAATGATCGACAGCATGAGCATCGATCTACGCAGTTGCGATACGATAACATATGCCAACCAACCAAGTTAGCGAGCCTGACCACCCGATACTGTTGTTTAACCCAAATCTTTGACATCAGCCTCCCACATACACCCGAGTTACACAAACGAGCCCTCAAGCATAAACTCATGGCAAGCCTACAGTAGAAACGTACACTCAGCATAGGAAACCGTGCTGTATTCGCTGTAAGAGGCTGTGTGTTGCTGTGAAGTGCTTGAAGAATGTCACTCGATCCCATTAGTCCTCTTACGTCAAGCATGGATTTCAGAAGGTCAATACAAACTCGCATCCTTGATTTTTGGCGGCCATCTTGGACGCCATCTTGAATCTTACGGAAAATGTGCCCCAAAAATCGGGCATCCCCCAAAAATATGTCTTATCATGATATTCCCCAGCACTATGCAAAGTTTCATGCTTTAGTCCGCCAAGTATTTATTTTCACCCTAAGCCACTGCACTATCAAGGGCGTTTGCAGAGGGTAAATACTACTTTGCCTTTTGTCGCTACTGTTTTACCTTTGAAAGGCTATCAATGCATTACAGGAAATTTCAACCAAAATAATAATTACCTACAAATTCTGGTTAAATGTCTTGAAAATATAGGAGAGTCAGTTTTATGAACAATGGCTCTCACACCAACAGAGTCCAGTGCATTTAAGTGACGACTGTTTGCACTTGCATGTGTTGTTACACCACTTTCTACAAGAGACCACCTCCTTACAAGACGTTGCTGCGTGGTAATGTGTCATCCATTGGGAATGGACATATTTACCTCTTTCCTGCTGTATCCAGAGTTAAGGCTGTGGAAGAAGTGACTTACCCCATACATGCCCTGCCTGGTAAGAGGGTTTTAACAAGCTGTGCAAGACCTGCATGCGTTGGTTGGATGACATGTTTTGAGAGTTACTGCAAGCACTACAACATCTGGAGCTACTGTTCGTAACATAATCTTGGTCATGTTTTGCAACATGAAGTTTGATGGCAATTTCCGTTTATTGATGACTGCAAGGGACATCCGTTACTCTGCTTTGTTCTTTCCTTTGTGAAGGTCTCAAACTGCTCTTTTCCTGTGGGTACCATGTTCACATGATGCTATGGTCCCAAGTAAAGCGGAGTATAAATTTAAAAATGACAGTATGTGCGCTACAATTTCCTGAAATGGTTTAAAAGACGGTAGTTCTAAAAAGTAACTTTTTTGACGTTCCGAAAATACATGTCAAGCTATTGGCTTGCGCAACATTGGTGCTAACGTGTGCATTAACCACGTGGCTGTTAGTCCACTTAAGAGGAATCTTGTGGCCTACGAGGAACCACGTGGTCACCGGGGAAGTATAGTGTCGTCCAAGAACATCAAAGACCATGATGATCGGGTCTGAACATCTTTCGGACTATGTTAGACGCCAAGTTCGAGCTGGACCTTATAGTGTTCAAAGTGAAGAATTGAGGCATGCACTCTATCGGAAATGACCATTCTTTTGCAGCTTTGTTGATGTTCACGTTTTTGTGTATTCTTCTCAGATTGGAGTAATGTGTTACCATGTTTCAATTTCAGTTTTGTGTTTGTTGAAATCAGAGTAAAATATGTTGCAGTTACCATTTTAAGTCCGTGTTATTTTGGTTTTCAAAGCATATGCACCAACATGTGTTTCCGTACTCCTCTTAAAGGGTGGGTTATTGCACTATTAATGCTCATGGATATGTTTCATTATGGCCTTGAGCATGAAGTCTACATTCAATATCGTAACCTGTCATTTGTAGTATAACTGCCACGGGGCTTGGAGCATTAAGTTCAAATTCAATATCGCTACTTGTCATTTGTGGTATAACTGCCTCGGGGCCTTGAGCATTAAGTCCAAATTCAATATCGCAACTTGTCATTTGTGGTATAACTGCCACGGGGCCTGTAAGCGAAGAAGATTATTGTGTCCCCATGAGTTTTCAATGTAAAAAAAACACATTTTATGAACATAAACTTAGTGTATTATCAAAAAGGTATATAATGGAAACGTAAAGACAAATTTAATCTTACATTTGTAAAATCGAATTTGGCAAAATTGTCACTGAATTTAATTGGGTGTTTTTAAATATTAAACAGTAAAAGTTTACTGGAATAAAATAATGACTGCTCTCTTGCGAAAGACAAATGTGGATTATCTGCCCTTGAGTCTAATGACTTAAAGATTTTATTGTTAAAACTATCCAAAATTGTAAGTTATGAATTATTGTCCTGGAGTTCTTTTGCCAAACATCAGTCAGTATTGATCAGATGAAATCTTAACATACTTACCTGTTGTCATGGAGCTCCATATTTGAAAAGCTGCCTGCTACCTGCCGTTTTGGATGGAGGGAGCCTTTATGTTTTGGGGATGCTTAACCTTAATGTAAATTAACTATTTCTTGTCTTATGCCGTACCTGTGAATTATTGGTTTGTAATGATTCCCTATGCTGACTCTGTAAGAGAAAACAGTGGAAATACGATGGCATATTTGTCTACTGCACATGTGCACACAAACAAAAACAAAAAATCATGTGCCTCCATATCTGATTTTTTTTCAGAAATGTTCTTTAAAATGACGAACAACTTTTGAACCTAATTCATTAAATGCACAAAGTGTGAAGCCCATTTCTGGTGTCCCCCGCCATGATATTGCTGGAATATTGCTAAAAGCGGCGTAAAACCATACTCACTACTATCACCCCCTACTACTCTTACTGATACGGTTCTGTTTGATTGTCCGACAGTTTACATTTCGCAATGATTCCATCCGATTCTTTGCCTTTTCTGAGTAATTCCAATTTGTGGAACTGGCGGCAATTCTCCGTCCGCACAGCGGTTAGTATGTGAACCCCCACTTTTCAGAGAGTAATATTTCATAATCAATCGAGGTTACTGCCTCACCATCTCACCACCTCACCACCTCGAATGATTCGTTAACCGTTATATCAGGATGAACTCACAGATCATCCACCAGGTTAAAGGTGTTCCACTGTAGATGTATATCTGTCAATGAATTATCAGATTCTTTTTCCATTTCTTTCCTTCTAGAAAAATGAACACCATCACCATCTTCTGCTTCGTGGCGTTCACTTTGGGGTTACTAACAGGTACGTTCTGCTGAAACAATGTTTAAAGGTATAATGTCACGCTTTTTCGACAATATTTTTGTCTATAATGCATACTACCCACCAAAGGTTTAGACTCACTAGTGTAAATGTAGCCACTTACTTCAGTCAACTGTTCTGAACTAGATTTTTCAAAATATTCCATACTGTTTAAAGGTACTGCACACATGAACATGTATTGTAAAACAAATTCGTAACGTTGAAAAAGTGCGTGTCATAGGTTCAATAAATGATGAAACTCGGTGAAAATTGGAGAATTCTTAACAAACCTTTACACTAAAACGCAGCTGTTCACATGCACGATATTTGCACATGCTTTTCATCAATTTGATGCATGATCCTCGTGCAGTTCATCTGCATAAGGTTTGCAGTTGGTTGCCCCAAGTTAGTGGAGAAATTCGTCTTCGATGTAACCACATATATATGCATAATGCATAACATATAGTGAGTGCTTTAAGTGAGTCTAAACTTTTGACGGGTAGATATTTTGGGGCATATGCACTCACTTTAGCTTCCTATTGATACAATAAAAGACTTATTATCCTTACGACTTGCCTGAAATCGACAATTGAAACTTCGAGGCGAACAGCTTCCAAACAGATAACACTTGCCATATTATGGAATGTAAACGATTGCTCCGTACATCGAAAACTGTCGCACGCGGTGTTTGCCGAACTGGCCATCACAAGTTGCGTAAAAGGATGGATATTCGTGAAAAGCGTTCCCAGGGACATAACTCTATGGGGTTCGCTTGAAATAAAATTCTGTCGGTAGTGGGCGCTAGAGTCGATTTAAGCTACGTTGCATTAATTCATTCGAACTTTTAAAAATAATTTGTAATGTTAATGCGTAATTTATTTCGGAATAAATTATATGGTAGCTTCGCTGAGGGCTGATAGTTAGTATTATCGAGAAAAATGCAATATTGATTTTTAGAGAAGTGTGGAGTGGTAGTGTGCCTTTAAATCATAAATATTCCAGCAATATCACGGCGGAGAACTCCAGAAATGGTCTTCGCACATATATTATCAGAATTATTGGAATAATGAAATGGTGGTTATAAAGAAATTTGTAAATACCGAAAGTTTGGTACGAAAAATATTTTGGTTCACAAGTAGTCACTGTGTCATTACGACAAATAGGTAGGTCCTATTTGTAAGAATTGCTTCCATATCTTCACCTCGCTTATACCTTGTATCACAAAATGTCCCCCACAATATTTTCGTTTGGACAGGTATTTAAGTGTCGTGCTATTAAAATCGTGATAGATGTAATGTTTCAGAGCGAAGCTATGGTAGCAAATGGGCCCAGGGTATTTATTCTAACAGCATGCGTTTATAATGCACTGGATAATCGAAGATGTGATCAGTGGAAAATTTTACATTGGTAGGAAACCTTGGATACAAGAAGTTGATTTTTGGATACACTGGAGGTCGTTGTACGTTCTGAGTAAGCTGTGTTTGATCGAAAACCGGTATTTCGACATGCATTCGGAAAACTTCGTAACTCTCTGAAATCTTCGAATATTTCCGTTTTTCACACCGGAAGTCAAATTAAGTTCGGTTTGAAGTTGTATTCTTACTTTTTATTCAAGCGATTTGCAATGTTTTGGATATGAATGATTTAAATATTTACTTATTAATGACCAGTGATCTCTGATATGTCCTGACCAGGTCAAGTTGCTGTCTAAAATATCAGGGCTTTTTTTTTAGCGTGGAGAAGGTAGTTGGAACTAGTAACCACTGTGTTGATGTTAAATTGTTCTTCTCCTTGTTTCCATATATTATTTATTTTGGCATGATTTTAAGTTTTTATTAAAGCTTAATCATAGTGATTTGGTTTCTTTTTGCTTTATAAATCAAGCATTAACTCGATTATAAGTAGGTTTGTTTTGTTAAAAAAGATCTTGCAGTATATTGCAATACATATCGCAATATATGCTTTCCCATCGCAATATATCGCCATGTGAAAATTCTCTGCAATTACCACCCCTAATTGTAACTATGTATAATGTTAATCTTTTTCAGATCCTCTTCGCGTGGTAAGTAAGCCTCAGTCTCCAATGAGACTTGCTCTACATAAGTGCAGAGATAACGATGCTGCGGTTCTCATTATCATAATGCCAAGAGCAAATCCAACTTGTTTGAAGATTAAATATCAAATTTATATTATTACGTTTAATTTAGCCTTTGGGTATATACAGTGAATTGTAAATAAGTGAGTGAGTTCAGTTTTACGCCGCTTTTAGCAATATTCCAGCAATATCACGGCGGTGACATCAGAAATAGGCTTCACACATTGTACCCATGTGGGGAATCGAACCCGGGTCTTTGGCGTGACGAGCGATAGCTTTAATCATTAGGCTACCCCATCGCCCAGTGCTTTGTAAGAGTTTCGTGAGAAGAATAATGTATTGAAAGATGTTTTGAGGTTACTCTCCCCTATTATAGAAAAAATCATTTACTGTGGGGTTGTCGTGTAATCGACATTTGTCTTCTTTGAGTAAGTTTTATTTTCTTGTTGGTTTGGGATAGGGAAGATTTGTTGTTTAAGTGTTCGATCGCCACGACGTTCACCTGGATGCATTTGCTCGTATTGGTATTTTTATGTGTGTGTGTTCGCCGCCACGATAAGGCTGGATTTTTTATCATAAAATTTAATAAGTGGTGTAAAACACTACTTAAATATTATCATGGAAGCTGTGTAAAACCATTAATGTCATTTATAGAGGTCGTGTTAGAACGTCAGCCATGTGATTTACAGACGTCGTGTAAAACAATACAGAATGTCAGAAACTGTGTAAATCAAATTATTATATCATTGTGGAAGCCGTGTAAAAAGTAGGGAAATATACTTTATAGAATCTGTGCAATTCAATACGGTAGTGCACTGTATAGAAGCCATGTTAAACAATACGACGTCTTCGGCGGAAGTGTAAATTTATACTGCAATGTTTATACAAGCAGTGTAAAACATTAACATAAAGTCATTTACAGAAACCGAGTAAAAGCAACAATGCAGTTATGTCATTGTGGAATCCATGATGTTAAAACAATATGGTAATGTCATTTATAGAGGCCGTGTAAAACAGTACGGTAATGTCATTTATAGAGGCCGTAAAACAGTACGGTAATGTCATTTATAGAGGCCGTGTAAAACAGTACGGTAATGTCATTTATAGAGGCCGTGTAAAACAGTACGGTAATGTCATTTATGTAAAACAATACGGTAATGTCATTTATAGAGGCCGTGTAAAACAGTACGGTAATGTCATTTATAGAGGCCGTATAAAACAGTACTGTAATGTCATTTATAGAGGCCGTGTAAAACAGTACGGTAATGTCATTTATAGAGGCCGTGTAAAACAATACGGTAATGTCATTTATAGAGGCCGTGTAAAACAATACGGTAATGTCATTTATAGAGGCCGTGTAAAACAGTACGGTAATGTCATTTATAGAGGCCGTGTAAAACAATACGGTAATGTCATTTATAGAGGCCGTGTAAAACAATACGGTAATGTCATTTATAGAGGCCGTATAAAACAGTACGGTAATGTCATTTATAGAGGCCGTGTAAAACAGTACGGTAATGTCATTTATAGAGGCCGTGTAAAACAATACGGTAATGTCATTTATAGAGGCCGTGTAAAACAGTACGGTAATGTCATTTATAGAGGCCGTGTAAAACAGTACGGTAATGTCATTTATAGAGGCCGTATAAAACAGTACGGTAATGTCATTTATAGAGGCCGTGTAAAACAATACGGTAATGTCATTTATAGAGGCCGTGTAAAACAGTACTGTAATGTCATTTATAGAGGCCGTGTAAAACATTTATATGTCACGTCGATGTCCAGGAATTTCGTGTTAATAAGTGAGTGAGTTTATTTTTACGTGGCTCTCAGCAATATGCCGAAGACCCATGTTTGATTCTCCATGTTGATACAATATGGTTGGTTGGATTGTTAATGTCACGCTCAGCAATATTCCAGCTATATGGCGGCGGTTTGTAAATAATCGAGTCTGGATCAGACAATCCAGTGATCAACAGCATGATCATCGATCTGCTCAAGTAGATTTTCGTGTTTAATATTGATGGTTTATACTGGGGAGCGATCTGTAGGAGGTAAGGGAATATTCCAAGAAGGGTGCTCACATTTGATAGTCACTGGGCATTTCTTAACAATGCCCTAATTGTTTGTTATAGCACTGGGCCTCCTTTCACAAAGCACTAAGGTGATCGTAAGTTGCTAAGGTAACCTTAGTGCAATGTTAAAGAATGGGAATTAGGGTTAAACTTAGTAAAGACTGCTTCATGAAAGGAGCCCCTGGGGTCGTATAAGGGGGATATTTTCTTGCTGGCGAAGTTGGGTTACGTGAAACGTCGTGGCCTTCAGATGCTGGCTATCGTTGGATTAATTCTTAAATTTTAATTGTTGTTTTTTAGGGGACGGAGGCCAGCAACAGTACTGATCCAACCAATACAACAAACCCAGATAAAGTAAGCTGATTTGTGTAATATCCTCTCAGTAAGTGATTGCGTGTGCGATTGAAATAGCGAGTAAGTGTTTTTAACACTATTCCAGCAATATCACTTCGAGAACAACTAAACATGGAGAATCGCCGTGACGAGCTGATGTGTTAACTACTGGGCTACGCTATATGAAATAACAGATGTTTTAAGACACGTATACTGTAGGTTATAGCATGTTCATCTTTGTGAATGAGTGAGTGAGTGAGTCAGTTTTACACCGCACTCAGCAGTATTCCAGCTATATGGCGGCGGTCTGTAAAAAATCGAGTCCGGACCAGACAATCCAGTGTGTGTTTTTGTTTACGACGCACTTAACTATATTCCCGCTGTCTGGAAGAGGTCTGTAAATAATAAATTTGGGACCAGACAATCCAATGATCAACAGCATGAGCATCGACCTACGCAATTGGGATACGATGACATGTGTCAAGCAAGTCAGCGAGTCTGACCACCCGATCCCGTTAGTCGCCTCTTACGACAAGCATGGGTTACTGAAGAGCAATTCTAACCTTTGTTAGAATCTTTGTGATAATGGCAGTATGGCATGTGAATCATGGGTAATAAAAGTCAACTTTGGATATAGCTGAATCCAAATAACCTTGATTAAATATTATACACCACGCCATCGGCTCTAAACGACTCGCACACATGTTATAACCATGTTCTATATGTAATGGATGAATAGATGTCTTGGCGGTCGTTGGTACTATCGTAAACCGTACCTCATGTGTCATTAACCAATTTAAGATTCCTCGCCATGAGGAATGAAAGTCGAAAGTCTACAGATCGGTTAATTACCCTCCGTGACGTCAATATGACATGACATCATCATCATCATCATCATCATCATTATCATCATCATCATCATCATCATCATCATCATCTTCTTCTTCTTCTTCTCTTTCTTTATTCATTTGCCTGGCGCTTATGTGGCCATATGTTTGAATTGATGCATTCATATTCGAAGGTACCCACCTCTTTTCCTTTGTTTATTCACAGAATGCTGCTGCAACAGTTGCTGTAGCAACATCCCTGATCCTCATCGGCCTTCGTCACCGCCCTCCAACTCGCTGAACGACCTTGACATTTACCGAATACTTCCTGTCACGTGTCAGTGTGAAGCATCTCGCTGCGTATGAACCTGTGGTTATAAAAAGTTACGGTGTATTTAAAAACGTTCGTTCCGAATTAGGAATACATTTTTCTGTGTACCGTATTGCTCGGCTGTGTATCGTGCGGCAAGAACAGAATGGCTTCTCGCGATACTCTCCCAATCATGTTATCGACTGGGCTCCGTCTTCGTAAAAGCAAACATACTATATAGTATGACTAGTTAACGCATTATTCATCTACCAAGTTGTTTGTGTGCATCTTAAACGGGTATTTACTTCAAAGCAGAGTTGTTGATTTGTGACATTCAGCATTACTCATGGAAATGTCCCCTTGATAAAATCTTAGCTAAAATTGCCATGCATAAATCAGGTATTTTGACAGACTCTGTAGTCATTGCGCTTTATCTGGTTTATCGAGTTTATCAATGCACTTTACATTGGAAATAAGTTCCGCCAAACGCGGAAAGAGACGAGTGGGGACGAAAACATTAGAACACTTATCACAAAAAAGTTGTAACTGAACAAAGAAATATTACTTTAATATTTTATCACCACAGGTGAAGCATTACCATAGAGGCACTGACACAGGCGCTGACCATATGTATGACAAAATGTATGACAATATGACCTTAATTGATAACAGTTGTGTGTGACTGTATGAGTTGATATTTATGAGTTTATTTCAGTATGATTAAAAGAAGCTTTTAATCGCATTCTGTAGTTATTTGTCAATGACATTTGATAACATCACCCACATATTCTGTTGTGATGGGGACACGTGTGGCCTGTCATCTAAGGTACTGCCATTCGGTATACGCTTGTACGTCAAACAGGGCGGTGGGGTAGCCAAGTGGTTAAAGCTTCCGCTCCTAAAACATTAACACCCGGGTTCAATTCCCAACATGGTTACAATGTGTGAAGCCCATTTCTGGTGTCCCCCGCCGTGACATTGCTAGAAAAATAGCTTAAAGCGGCGTAAAACCGATCTCACTCACTCACTCTTGAGCAAATCAGAAACATATGCTTGTGGGTTCGAATCCTTGTTCCTATAATTTAAGCCTCAAGGTTTGCCAGCGCGTTGTTTGTGCTCGTGAGTTTCACTACAGGGTGAAAGTCTCACATCAGCATCACTGATTTTTTCCAAGAGTAATCTTGCACGCCGTGATTCAACTACAATACTGTTCAACTCGGTGTTTAACCTCCCACAGACCGCCTCCGTGGTGTAGTGGTTAGAGCGTCTGCCCGGAGAGCGGAAGGTCGCGGGTTCGATCCCTGACCGCGTCATACCAAAAGACGTTAAAATATGGTACTTGTTGGTCCCTGCCTGGCGCTCGGCATTAATGGGTGCAACAAGGACTGGTCGGCTCGGAGTCAGTATAATGTGTCTGAGTTGGGTATTTATGCTTCACTGCGCATGGTATCTCAGTGGGCTAGCACTATAAAGCAGCTTCAGTCTGGGCTAGTACAAGCAGCCGCACATACACATACACACGCATGCACGTCGTCATATGAGCGAAATTTTCCCAAGTACGGCGTTAGACCCAATTTCACCTCACCTCACCTTTAACCTCACCCACGCCCTTTCCCTGTAACACGTGCTACTTTCTTCCCACAACATGACTGAAATGTTGTTCGACAGCGTCGTTAAGCCCAGCTCAATCACACTCTAATCGGGCGGTGGGGTAGTCTGGTGGTTAGGGACCGTTCATAATTTATTGCTAGGGGGTGGGGTGGGTGATGATGATTTTCATGGAGAAGCATGTACACTGTGAATGCCCCCTTCCCCTCGTACATGTGTACAAAATTGATGACATGAAGAAAAAATGAGTGATCCCCTTTAAAATCATCATCATATCTCACTCAACCCCCCTCACACACACACACACACACACACACACACACACACACACACACACACACACACACACACACACACACACAACACATACCACACCACACCACACACACACACACACCACACCCATACCTCCAGTAGAACGATGGGGTAGCTTAGTGGTTAAAGCGTTCGCTCGCCACGGTGAAGAGGGGCTCAATTCCCGTGATGTTGCTGGAGTATTGCTAAAAGCTACGTAGAACCATACTTACCCACTCATTTATCTGTATTACAATGTGTTATCTAAGGAATCTGATGTAATTTTCTAATGGTTTGGGGATGTATTTACCTTATAAGAATACTAGTTACAGTTGTTCTCTCTGTAAAGGACTGGAATGATCATGAAAAGAGATCCGGGACTAAGCAGTGGGTCCATTAATCAAAGACCGTATATTAGCCTGTTCGTACTTTTGTGTTTCCCAGGGGCGGTAGCCTAGTGGTTAAAGCGTTTGCTCGTCACGCCGAAGACCCGGGTTCGATTCCCCACATGGGTACAATCTGTGAATCCCATTTCTGGTGTCCCTGCCGTGATATTGCTGAAATATTGTAAAAGCGGCGTAAATCAAAACTCACTCACTCATTCTTTTTAAATTCCCAGAACCACACTTAATTTCCATTCCGATGGTAAATAATAAACTGTTTTCTTATGTCAGTTTCCCGATGTTGAATCTATGTCCTGATGTGATAAAAACATCATTATTACCAACGCACACTCATCCTCGATAATCTCCAGGGTATACGTTACGATCACTCTCCACTATACCTGGATGCATCCACGGCTTGGCCCGATGATTTTATGACCTCCCTTTGCTGTTATTTTTTTATGCAATTAGGAGTTAGTGAGTTAATATTTAACGTCACATCGGCAATATTTCAGCCATATCGTGACGAATGCAATTAGGAGTCTACGCTGGGAATTGAGCGAACCAATCACAACTGACTTTCGCTTCTTAAATTATCTAACCGTTTAAATTTGGCTACACAATTGATGCAGACGTACCCTGAAAGAGGTAGAAGTTAGTTCTTTCATATATGTTTTTCAAAGTTTCAGATCTGTCAATTTGTCTGCATGATTTCCCCAAAAATATGAGTGGCACTGCGAGCAAACCTTCGCGACTGCGACCGCTATCTTTGTTGACACTGGCAAGCTCGGATGTAACGGCGGCTTTAGCTGATTGGCTACTGTGAGAATGTGGAGCCAGCAAAGGGAGGTAATATAATCATTCGGCCAAGCCGTGGATGCATCCAGGGTATAGTGGAGAGTGATCGTAACGTATACCCTGGAGATTATCGAGGATGACACACACTGAGCTTCATTGTTCTTCAGTTGCATTTATTTCAAATTTGTATGCTATATAGACTATAACAAAGCGAGTTAAGTCGGAAGAGTTCATAACGTAAAATTCACAATTATTGAAAAATATTGTCCTTGTTTCATTTTTCGCTCTCCCGCTCTATTGCTGGTTCATGTATGAGATGGGAAACGCATAAAATACTTAAACAGTTCATTCATTCACTGACACCTATGTAATAAGTAATAATAGCAGGTTCGTCTAAGAGACGTTGTGTCTTCAACGTTGTTATAGTGAATGCAAATCATGAAATATACCGTAAGAAAATATATACTCAACAAAAACGGTAAGGACCACCCCAGTATTCAATATTTAAGTATCATATGGATCATAATATGAACTAAACTGACGTACAAAAGAAAGTACACACCTGATGCTTTGGTAAAATGTTTTCCTAAAAACAGCGTAATATTTAGAAAGGTGTTTTGATTGCGACTCATAAGTCACAAACATTATGTACGTGTTGCAATAACACCATTGATATCGTACCCAATTGGAACATTGCTAACAAAATATTTACGTTGTTTTAACAGTCACAAAACACCAGGTGTGTACTTTCTTTTGTACATCAGTATATTAAATACTTTAATATTGAAAATTGGGGTGGTGCTGAACTTTTTTTGTTGAGTATATTACCCAAGCCGGCGATGATGGGATGCTGAGGGTCTGGGGATGCGGATCTTCACGGGTCTGTTCAGGATGGCTGATGAACTACACAGTAGTTGAAAGATAGACTAAAGAATATGTTAAGATTGATAGATACACATCGACAGTATAATGAACTCAGTGATAGTTAGTTCCAATAACGAACCTGCTGCTAACTTCGGACGACTGGGTTTAACTTTGTATTTCAGTTTTTAAATATAATAAACAAATAGTAGTAAATATTTTATGAACGCTTTAAGTAAATACGTAATGTCACGTAACATGCGTAAAAAAACAATTATACCATTTATACCTCCATATGAAATTGAGGTAAGTGGTTATGAAAAATGAGCTTTCTGAAATGGGTCATTTTTGTTTTCCTAGAATACATTCTCTTGATTTAGCTACCAGTCTGTCCCCGGGGGTGGTGGGGTAGCCCAGTGGTTAAAGCGTTTGCTCGTCACGCCGAAGGCCCAGGTTCGATTCCCCACATGGGTACAATGTGTGAAGCCAATTTCTAGTGTCCCCCGCCGTGATATTGCTGGAATATTGCTAAAAGCGGTGTAAAACCCAACTAACTCACTCACTCACTCACTGTCCTTGCGGGTCAGGTCAGATCTGGTCCTCACACTCATTATTGTTCAAGTGGGGTGTTCTCTTTTTGTCTGCAGGTATTGTTTAGGGATTAAAATCACTAGACCGTACTAATCCTTAGAACAATGGGGATTAAGGCTATAGTCTGTATTAGAAAGCAAGTATGCCAGCAAATAAGAAGAAACGGTAAAGTTTATCACATTATTGCATATAACACCCGCAAATCCAATATATACATGAATATGAATCATTCGACAAATATGGTGAATTTTTAATTTTACTAATATTGCATGTAACATCAACAAATACACAAATATGAATTAGTAGACAAATACATGTATGCATGGTGACAGCTTATAACATCAACAAATACACAGACATGGTGACAGCTTATAACATCAACAAATACACAGACATGGTGACAGCTTATAACATCAACAAATACACAGACATGGTGACAGCTTATAACATCAACAAATACACAGACATGGTGACAGCTTATAACATCAACAAATACACAGACATGGTGACAGCTTATAACATCAACAAATACACAGACATGGTGACAGCTTATAACATCAACAAATACACAGACATGGTGACAGCTTATAACATCAACAAATACACAGACATGGTGACAGCTTATAACATCAACAAATACACAGACATGGTGACAGCTTATATAACATCAACAACAAATACACAGACATGGTGACAGCTTATAACATCAACAAATACACAGACATGGTGACAGCTTATAACATCAACAAATACACAGACATGGTGACAGCTTATAACATCAACAAATACACAGACATGGTGACAGCTTATAACATCAACAAATACACAGACATGGTGACAGCTTATAACATCAACAAATACACAGACATGGTGACAGCTTATAACATCAACAAATACACAGACATGGTGACGGCTTATAACATCAACAAATACACAGACATGGTGACAGCTTATAACATCAACAAATACACAGACATGGTGACAGCTTATAACATCAACAAATACACAGACATGGTGACAGCTTATAACATCAACAAATACACAGACATGGTGACAGCTTATAACATCAACAAATACACAGACATGGTGACAGCTTATAACATCAACAAATACACAGACATGGTGACAGCTTATAACATCAACAAATACACAGACATGGTGACAGCTTATAACATCAACAAATACACAGACATGGTGACAGCTTATAACATCAACAAATACACAGACATGGTGACAGCTTATAACATCAACAAACAAATGACGGTTCGAGCATCAACAAATACACGACATGGTGACAGCTTATAACATCAACAAATACACAGACATGGTGACAGCTTATAACATCAACAAATACACAGACATGGTGACAGTTGTAAATTCGTAAATGTATAAATGAATAAAAAAACAACTTATATACTTACCTGTCAGTAAAATAAGAAAGTCTATTACATGTGTGAGTGAGTGAGTTAAAATTCTAAGATTTACACTCTATGAAAAAACTAGCATACAACCATAAAACATTTCTATGTTAAACAATACAATATAAAAATGGGCTATAGGTCGCCAACAGCTAAAGGTAGATCACCATACTAGAGACCATGGGGCTTTACAGTACCTTTGCTACCTGCATGGTCTCGAGCTGGATTTATACCATTCCTTCAGATGTTGGCGATTTGGACGAATTTAGCCATGAATTAAATGGACACAATCATATCTTACTACAGTGAAACCTGTCTAAACCGACACCCCACGAGACCGAAACAAAATGCCGGTTTAGACAGGGTGCCGGAATAGACAGTGACGATCATTTTCAAACACGGCTGCCATTTAGACTCGTCAATCTTTTTATCTCTACAATCCCTTTGATCTTTTGTAATTATGCAACAATGGATTGGATTAAGGGACAATGTTTTAATGACCATTCAATCGTTGTGAAATGGCGGGACCAAAATTTTATGCCTGTTTTTGACAGTGTGCCGGATTAGACAGGTGCCGGTGTTGGCAGGTTTACTGTACTAAAATCATGGTACGAATAGATGTGCTTGGATGACCTGTTCCTACGTACCCTCTCAGTGGGACAATAATTTTACACTACTTCAACCCTCTTTGAGGATACTGCCACTAAAAATCTGAGCTTTCAGATATATTTGACTAAACATAAATAATCATTTATTCATACTGGACATATTGATCAAAATTTATGCAGCAACTCAATTTCTTTTCTTTTCCCTTTTTAAATCTATAACTAAAATCTATGCTTAAAGATAATTCGTGGTTGAAGCTATGAAATGGCTATCCCTTGTGATGGAAGAGTGGGTGAGTGAGTGAGTGAGTGAGTGACCTCATTAATCCTTTGAATAAAAGTACGTTCGCAACGAAGGAAGTTAATATATATATATATATATATATATATATGTTATTGTTTATTACCATATGCGAATGACAAAATATTATTATTTTTTTATTTATTTTTTATTTTTTTATTTTTTATTGTTCCCAATGTGATGAGTACAAAAACATGATGAGTACAAGCATATAGAGGAATATGTGCACATACAAGCTAGTGGGCTCAATAGCGATATAGTACACTAAGTGCACTGAATATCAATGTTAGTAATATGTTCTTTGTTTAATAGTCATTCAGGGTTAAATTCAGGGATGAGAGGAAACCATTTGACTGAAAAGCTTTCAACATTATTATTTCTTCTGGCGATGAATGATTCAGTGGTAAATATGTCTTTCAATATCCTTAAGTAATTATCAACTTTTGGAATTGTTTTTGTCAAAGAGCAAGTGTAAATATATCTCTTAGCAGATAATATTATGTGGTTCAATAATGGGTTCTTACCTAAAAAGCCAAACCAAATCAAAGATTTTGTCAAATTAAGTGTTTGGATACGTTTCGTAATCCACTGTTCAAGTTTCTTCCAGAAAGTTTTGGTTTCATCACATTCCAAATATACATGGCATAAGGTCTCAACAGAACCATTACACAAAAAACATATTGTATTGTCCACCAGATTCATTCTAAAAAGTTCTTTTTTGGTATAAACAATTCCGTGCAGAAATTTATATTGAAAATCTAACAGTTTCACATCTCTTAAATCTTTTCTACAAGTATAAAAAATCAAATGCCAATCAAAATCAATACAGTCAAATAATGTTTCCCATTTTTGGCACATGTGAGGTTTAACATTTTCAGATAACAATTTATCATAAAATAATCTTGAACCTTTTCTTGGGGATATGAAATCCTTTTGGAGTGAATTTATTGTGAGGTCATTAATGTTTATATATCTATATTCCTTTAAAGTCTTTTTCCAAGGTTCAGGTAAAATATATATAACATATCCAAGATCTAAGTGAGTACCTTTTATATCAAATTTAAGCTTCAATTGATCAAAGGATATAAACCCATGTTCATCACAAAGATCTTTGATCGTCAAGATTCCACATTTATCCCAGTGACTAAGGATGTGATTTGAGTTTTTAAAATTGTTATTCAACCATAAAGGTTGGGCTAAGATTTTATATTATTATTAATAACTTATTGAATTACTATTACGTCGGGTCGTACCCCCAGACAACAGAACTATATTTATTAGGGGGAAACCCAGGCGGATTTGTATTCGTAATAAACATAGATCTACATGACGAAAGGAGCGAGCATATAGCGGCTATTTCTAACAACGCGGTGACGTCACGGCGGATTCACGTGACAATAAACACATCGCAACGACAGTTTCCACAATGACATTTATTACATGTAGACGTATTCATATCTTCATTTTGTCAGTGTCCAGTGAGGAATCACAGTCTTCTATGTGTTCCGGTGATATAGTGATAACGCCCGACCTCGTGTATCCGGTTTTTGCTGAGTTATCCCAGCAGTGAGTTCCTCTCATAAGCGCCGGGCCTCTAATAAGCGCCGGGCCTGTAATAATCACCTATACAGGTACAGTACATTATTAAGTGTAGGGGTGCTCGAATATATGTTTATGTTCATGAGTGAGTGAGTGAGTTTGGTTTTACGCCGCTTTTAGCAATATTCCAGCAATATCACGGCGGGGGACACCAGAAATGAGCTTTACACAATGTACCCATGTGGGGATTCGAACCCGGGTCTTCGGCGTGACGAGCGAACGCTTTATCCACTAGGCTACCCCGCCGCCCACTTATAAGAAGAAATCATCTCGAAGTGACAGCCTCTTGTAGTAGGAAAGTCTCACTTGACACAGTTTAAATAATCGAATCTGGACCAGACAATCCAGTGATCAACAGTATCAGTATCGAACTACGCAATTAGGATACTATGACATAAGTCATCCAAGTCAGCGACCACCCGATCCCTTTAGTCACAGTAAATGAAAATGTCACAGCACCAACATGAATAAATAATTATCATATATAAAAACAACAGTCAATAAACA